CTAGTATTAAAACGCACAAATTAATATAAAACCACGAAAATGGTGCACGTACTGGTCGTCACCAGTCCGTAAACAAGCTCTCGTGTACAAGAAATTTAGTTATGCCATAAAGATAGAAATTTAAGTAATAATATCGACTAAACGTGAAACTTTCTCACCTATAGTCTGGAATTCGAGCAGCCTGGGATGGAATAAAAATAGATAATTTGAGAAATCAGCGAATAAAAAGTTCCCCGATAAATAAATTCAATCGGATTGCTTACGGTACTAATTCCCGCGCCGGTGTAAACGACCAAGGATTTCGCTTGGCGGACGGCTTCCACTAAAACGTTTACCTTGTCTTCTAAGACYCCTACAGGGTCTAATATCTGCAAGAATATTTGTGGATTAGTTAAAAATCCARCCTCTTTCATGGCTTGCTATCTTAAGTAAAACTTCAAGACGTTYTAGTGACTACCTCTTCAACTTTTCTCTTTGCTTTGGCTTGCTTCCGGGCGCGATCTTCAACTTGCATAACGAGACTCTCTAGTTCCTTTAGAATGCTTCTGTCTTTCTCCGACCTGTCCGAGGGATCTTTCTTTAGGATTTGCTTTATTAGTTTGCAGTTGTCCTTGTCTTCTAAGTTGGCTAAAAACTGTTCTCTCCAAGCAATCTTCTTTCTCTCGCGTAAACTTTCTACAGCCATCTTGGATGTTTTCATAAACACTTCAGGGTCGCAAAGGTTAGTGGGTACAAATACGTGGAGTCGACATCACGACTTCCGGTTGGCGCTCGATCAAGCATTTTAYATACCAGCAGACAGTGATCGATCAAGCCTTCAGGATCTTTCCGTGAAAATAATCCAAACAGCAAAATAATTCCTTTTTCAATCTATGATATTCACTATGCAAGCATGGTATCTCCATTTTAGAATAATCCTGATTTTCTTATACATCATGAAATAGGATCGCAGTCTGCCATACTGATTTTGGCACAGAATCAATATTTTAAGCACTTACTCTTATCTAACATTTCAATAAACCTGGAATTCTAGATCACTCTTTTAGGCTGATCAAGGATTTTAGCCGCTTAGGGACATTAACACAAATGTTTGCATTTTATAATGGCCGAGATGACTGTGTGACGTCAGATGATGTTGATGCCATTTCAATTCGAGATGTCTCAATCATTGAACGTTTTGACAGTTGATCCTTAAAGTTCAGCATTTTGCCGGTTCTAAATGTTACTAGCGTTTCGATATAAACATGCCAACAGTCAACAGATGAAGACTGACTGGGTGTGGTTTTGGGCCTTGGGTCTAGAGCGGCATTATAGGGCGGGGAACTGCTTTAGGGTCGATCATCGCGTTTTACACGTCACTGACAACTAGTGCACAACTAATGTAAAATCTACTCAGTCATTGTAATAGAAGTATTAGATACGATAACAGTACATGTGATTACTGAATTTTATAAATACACTGAAAACTTACATGTGACGACACGACCATAACCGCGGGCATTCAGTCGTCTTTTTTTCTTTCTTTCTTTTTTTAAGTTTTAAGAGCTATTCAGAATTTCACTAGCCGAGTTTAAAGTTAACATGTCTCAAACTTTTCCGTATTTCTAAATTATATAAGTCCTTGTGCTTGTGCCATGGTTTATAATGAAATTACGTTATCATTAATTAGTATTGTAAATTATTTTGAGTGAAACACTACTAACTGCTCCTTTTGTATTCAGAATTAAGCCTGAAAGTGATCTATAAACAGTAAAATTCAAGGTGTTTGTATTCATTACTTTTGGTGTTCGTTCCTTTTATCATTGTGCAAAGATGCAGTAGAATCATCAGTGTAAYGTGCTTRATGTCCATTGTGCGAGATCGGTATGTATATGTATGTAGCTGACCATGTTATCAATGTTGCGCAGTTCCAACAATGATTGAAAATCATTCGCAATATCCGTCCATGAATCGGTYATTAAAGTGCAAGTTTCAACCCAATGTATCATTTCAATTGTCTTTTTTCAAGTTCTTYGATTGTCTAGTGAAAATAATCTTGTCCGACACGTCTTCAGCATCCATCGTCAAAATTTGTGCGAGCTCGGCAGCAGTTAACCATGGTCGTTCATCGTCGACAGAAGACACAGTAATATACTTGATGACAAGGTTTAGAGGCTGACAAGTACGACAAGCCTTTGGATCACTCGTGTCGACGTAGTCGATGAAATAGTCCTTTGTTACGCAGACTTCGCGTTCCAAGGGTTCCATGGTACAGTCAGCAGTGTGCTTTCTACGCAACCTGACGAACATGCAGGCAGAAACTCGTGGAAGGTTATCGGTTAACCTCAAAAACAGTGTCCAGTAACCTAGGTACCTGCTGTCTTAAGTAAATATTCTGTTTATTCCTTTGTGTGTTTTTTATTGGTTAAAGGGGTCTTGCTACCTGTTGTCTGGATTAAAGACACACCCACCGCAAATGACAAGTCGTCCACTTCCCAGTTCCTATTATATTATTATCAATTTATAGTATTTTAATAATAACATGCACAATTCAGGCTAACCCTATACCATAGTATGTTTCAAGCTGCTCTGTTAGAAAGCCCTAGAAATCATGGGAAACTAAGAGCACTGCGAACTCTCAGTGTTCGAGTTAACTGGATCAAGTGCATTTCAAACAGAAAATTCTAATACGCATATAGTAAATTGAAGTGCGACGTCCATATGTCACTGATCAGAGACTGCATGGATTCTATGTTTCTGAGAATTTTTCGGATCTAAAAGGTTGCTATATCTGCTTGGGGCGAACTCCAATTTCCAGAAACTGAAATACTCGTCTTTAACACTTACTAGTATTATCAGAATCGATTATAGCCAGGGAACCTCGTATCGTAGTCAGTGAAAAAAGGCAAATTAATAAAATGCCATATAGGAGGGAGAAGAGACATCAAGAAATTTAAACACTGAAACAGGCGTAAAATGGAACGAGGTATAGAAATAAGAATGAAAATGCAAAATCAATCGTCATGACAACATAAAAGTTCTCTATAATTTATTAACAATAAAATTATGAATGGATAATGTTTATTAAAATCAATGCTAATATACAACATGAAATGTTATCTGGTTTTTCAATATTCAAGCATGTCACAAGGCATATTAACGTCGTTGCTCAACTTCTTTGACTTGTAGTGTTCTTTGTCCTCTAAAAAAACTCAAATTTATTTTAATGCAAATTGTATCTAATCATTCAACATTGCGGTTGAATATGTAAATGAGAATGACAATTGAAATAATGAAATAAAAAAGTCGTCAGAAGAWCGAAGGAGACTGAATGAGATGTCTCCGGCAAATTTGCACATAAAACGATTCTTAGCAGATCTGAAGAGATTAAATTATTTCAATAAACGGTTTTCCATGGAATTCTTGACATCTTCCATCTTCTTTGAAAGTGTCTTAAAATTAATCTTCTTTTCTTAGGCACATTTCTTGTTACAGCAAAAACCCCAAAGCATCACAAGGATGGTAATGGCGGCTCATTGTTCTCTTTATAACTTGAGTCCTTTCTATGTCTTTCATGAACTACAATCGGTAAAAACTTTGCCTTTTGTGAAATAACCACACTCCAAGCTCATAATGTCATAAGGCTTCATATATATATATTTTTAATAAATCAATCCTATCACGCGAGCCCACCGTTAATCGTTATGCACGGCCAGCGGTGGATACTCTGAGTCATCATCCAGTTTGAGATTTCCAGTCCTTTGCTGTTCGTTAATGGTCGTGGAGGGTGGGGGCGAGTTTTCAGTAAGTGCATTTCCAGTCGAGGTTGAGGGTTGAGAAGTCTTGACGGATGATTGTGAGGAGGTTGAGTCTTGTCTAACCCGTGATGTTGCACCTTCATTGGCAGCGGATTCTTCATCCTGAAAGGTTAGAAAAAGACTTCACTGAAACTTTCAAGACCAAAATAACAAGCTACAGAATTCGGCGCAGCCTTACAACATTAAATTTTTCGCTTTAGCGCAACAACTTACAATTGTCCTTTCTCCATCTTCGTGTCCAATCAACCTACAAATCCAATAGTAACACTCAATAACAATTCAAAGAGGTCCCCTGATGTCTGAACAAACTTACCTGTGTTGTTTCAACAGAGTACAGTCACCTCCCTCCTCGGGGTCCACGTTGTAAATGTACAGATACCCATCAGCACTTGCAACCAGAAGACGAGGTAATTTGCCAATACTGAAACGAGATTCAATTGCTGTTTTAAGTGACGATCTTACGGAAAAACCAAACTTAAAAGGAGTAACGAACGGTTCGAGCCAGTGGTACCGGATCCATTAACAAGTCATACTGGCGAGGCTTGAGAGAGAAAGAAATTTTTACAGGTTGTACTTTGCTGATGCTCAGCTTCAAAATGATTTTAATACTTTTGTTCTGCTGAAATTTGTGTTTAATATGAATAGTTGCAAATCCCATGGATTATGATACTAATATTCAAATACAACTGGCAGGTGTACCCTGGATGCAATAGTGTTATGCCGACGATTACTGTACAGCGGTTTCTTTGCAATGGAAATGTTTGATTCATATGAATTTATAGCAAATATTTTAAAAGGAAAGGGCAATATCAGTTGAATTCTACTATTAGATTATTAAAGAACAGTCTTTCCAAGGGGAGCCAGAGATACCGAAAAGTTTATAACAGTAAAAATGGTAGTTACTTACGTTGCAATAGCACAGACATTTCTAAGACCTACAGAAAAACAAAAAGGTTAGTGATAAGAATCAAAATAAATTTTCTGCCGCACATAACGATTACTATAAAACAATACTACACATATCCTGATAATGCACCTGACCCCAAACCAAAGGATAACGGCCTGGGGACGGGTTTGTCCTTTAGCGTTGCGTGACGACAAAGGGGCGGCTGATAAAGGAGGCTGCTGTACGTTGAATGACAACGGTGGTAACACGTTGATGGTGTAAAAGATGGACGAAAATTCAACCTGACTTATCCATTCATTCAATTAAACCAGTAGGAGAGTCTTTGACGAGCTTCGTTCATTATCAAGGCACAGTAGAAAGTGAAAAGAGCGCTTAAAAGAGTAAAGCGAAGCACTTGCTTACAGCTCGTAGTTAGTTCCTGACCTCTTTCGAGATCAATCTCACCAGCATGCTAAAAGGAGCATGGCTAAGCCTCGTCTATTTACTGAATACTGTATAAGTAATTCGGGCAGCTAAATTTCACCTTATAAGGAAAGATGCATAGATTGTTATTGTCTTCGTTTTAGTTGTTATCGTTATTATGCTCGCTATTTCCTGCTCGTAGTGAGCTTGTATATTAAAAACAATTTTTTCCATTTTTTCAGGTAATCGAGGCGCCAAATATTTGATACAAATGAAAGACACTTGATTTGATAATTTTGTGACAGCAAGCAGCTCGCGCGGCTGAAGGTCAAGCTGTTTGTTATGCTTCAATAGTTTTTGGCGCCAAGTCAAAATCACGAAATTCTAGAGCCAAAGCTTCCGGTATTTATTGCGAAGATGTCGTATAGAAGTGAAACGTTATGTATTTTTAAGCATTAGGCGATTGCCTTTCGATTCATGTGGGTGGCTCCTATCTAAAAGAGCCGTTGTTTTGTAGCAAACAGTAAACTGTTTACTTGCTGCTGGTGTACTTGGTGACAGCCTTGGTGCCTTCACTGACGGCGTGCTTGGCCAATTCACCGGGTAGAAGAAGACGAACAGCGGTCTGGATCTCGCGAGATGTGATGGTTGACTTCTTGTTGTAGTGAGCRAGGCGGGAAGCTTCACCAGCGATGCGCTCGAAGACATCCTGAACAAAAGAGTTCATGATGGACATGGCTTTGCTGGAGATACCAGTGTCGGGATGGACCTGTTTCATGACTTTGTAGATGTAKATGGAGTAGGTTTCCTTCCTTCTTCGTGAYCTCTTCTTCTTGTCACCCGACTGTGCCTTCTTCACAGCCTTCTTTCCACCGGCGCTTTTCTTTCCTGGAGTAGCTGGCATCTTGATCAAGTTGATTTCGATACGAGATATGTTTGGTAARAGGAGGTGAGTTGTATTTATATCAGAASTCAAGCGGATTATGGATSAACGAGGTTTGAATTTGATTGGAGGGCATAAYATGTAAATGACTTGTATTGTAACACTAGATGTTGGGTCAAGTGGTGATTGGTGCATTTCGATCCTTTTGTTCTCCTTTTGCTAGTATAAAAGCCATGTAAGCTCATTCAAGCATTATAATASAGTTGTTGCACTCCGTGAAGAAACAATAATAAAYCTGAAAAGATGTCTGGCCGTGGAAAAGGTAAAGCTAAGGGYACYAAGTCCAAGACTCGATCATCCCGTGCWGGGCTTCAGTTCCCTGTCGGTCGTATCCATCGTCATCTCCGCAAAGGTAACTACGCTCAGCGAGTTGGTGCTGGTGCTCCAGTCTACTTGGCTGCTGTACTTGAGTACCTCAGTGCTGAAATCCTCGAGTTGGCCGGCAACGCTGCCCGAGACAACAAGAAAACCAGGATCATTCCCCGTCATTTGCAGTTGGCTGTTAGAAATGACGAAGAGTTGAACAAGCTTCTTGGTGGAGTCACCATTGCTCAAGGTGGTGTTCTTCCTAACATCCAAGCAGTTCTTCTGCCCAAAAAGGCCGAAAAGAAGTCGTCATAAAGCAGATTTATGCTGCGCCAACAAAACAACGGCTCTTTTAGGAGCCACCACATGAATCGAAAGTTCATGACCATGCTTTTTATTGAAGAAATATAAGAATTAGTCTAATAAAGATAACGAAATGTTACACTCAGACAACCATTAAACTTGTGACCGAGCATACATAATGACACAAGCACGAGATCCTTGTGGGTTTATAATGATTATTAGAAAGCAAAAGACAGGCAAATGAATCAGTGCAAGTTTGCATTTTTCTCAAAAATTTCCTTAAGAGTGAACCATATAAAGTAGGGATAATTTCAGAGCAACATTTGAAAATTTGGCTCCAAAGAGACAATAGTATTTTAGAACAAGCCTTCAACGAACCGCAAAGGAAACGTTATTGTTGTTATATGTTAATTAATGAGGTGACATGACACCGTGATCCGCTTATTGACGACAATGTTTAACATGGCCAAGTTTAATGCTTATTTTCTCAGCTGTAAATGCTGATATAACCTTACAATTGAACAAACTGAAAGATTGCGAGTACTTGCACATACAGTAAGAATACATGGACAATTTCGTGCGAGAATTTTACCATAATTTTACACAGAAGAGTATAGAGCTTGCGATTTGAGTTTTTGACCTCCAGCGGGTTATAAAAGTCAACCAATCAGAGAAAATATAGCGTAATTTTGGGCCAATCAAAAAGCGACCTTCTTTATCCAATGGCCTTTTTGCGCGCCAAAATTGAGTATAAGTTAGTTTGTGTGCGCGCCAACGATATAACGATTCAAAGTTTCAGACTAGATCAAAATGGCTCGTACTAAACAAACTGCTCGTAAATCAACTGGAGGAAAAGCTCCAAGAAARCAACTCGCCACCAAGGCAGCACGTAAAAGTGCCCCAGCAACTGGTGGAGTMAAGAARCCACATCGTTACAGGCCAGGAACAGTCGCACTTCGTGAGATCCGTCGTTACCAGAAGTCAACAGAATTGTTGATCCGCAAGCTTCCCTTTCAGCGTCTTGTCCGCGAAATTGCTCAGGACTTCAAAACTGACCTTCGCTTCCAAAGTTCAGCTGTCATGGCTCTTCAAGAGGCTAGCGAGGCTTACTTGGTTGGTCTGTTCGAGGACACCAACTTGTGCGCCATCCATGCCAAGAGAGTCACCATCATGCCCAAGGACATTCAGCTTGCYCGCCGAATCCGCGGCGAGAGAGCTTAAACTACTGGTTCTCCATTAACCCGAATCAACGGCTCTTTTAGGAGCCAACACATGCTTAAAAGCAGTGACATAATGCTTATACATTATTGTAGTGGAGAGTTATGAAATGAAAAATTGATTTATAGGGAAAAAAGTGGACTCACCAGCCACAGGAAGTCTAACATTRGCAAATGCTCTGCCTTGGTTGAAAACTTCTGTTACCTGGAAAAGTCAGGAACACAAAGAATAAATTGAGCTAATCTTACTAGTGGCATATTATATATCAATATAACTGAATTCTACCTGGGATGGTAGGTAGTTCGTGGGTGATAATGCTTTACCAAAGTA